TATACTGTAAAAACAAAAACAAACTATGCATAGGCCTACTATATAGTATGTTTACATTTTACAGAACATTTGTATTGTTCATTATTGTGTACAGTCTGATATCCAATATAGCTATATATTGTTTTTTTTGTCTGTGTGGCCATTCATGCCACAAGCTAACTAGCTAAACTTTCTAAACCGCAATGTAACAACTAGCCATGAAGCTAATGGCAGCTAACGTTTAATGTAGCCTTTAGTTATCCTTACTAGCCTACTATCTGTCTGACATGAAAAACACTTCAAGGACCACACCAGGCTTCATACAAGTTTATTTCCAATGATTCCTCGCTCCAAACGTATCCCTGTAGCAGCATTTATTCTCATATCTATTTCTTTACCTAACAAGTCCAGTTGAAATTTTGGCAATTTCTCAACTTCCGGTTGAAGCTTATTGAACATATAGGACACATACCTCTATTAGAGAATAATATCCTAAGCATTTAAAAAAAGTAAGTCTCTACTCTCTACCCCATACCTGTGAGGAGTAATGCCGTTTAAACCACCGACATTAGCTAAAACGGCTAAAGCTAGCTAAGTAAACTAGTAGAGAATGAATGCTGCTGCTACAGGGATATGTTTGGGATGAGGAATCATCAGAAATATTATTGTTTTAAGACTGGTGTGGTCCTTTCAGTTAATTACAATTACAGTATCCATATTACCATTCTTTTCCCAAAACTCTGGGGCAGACCTACCGGTATATTAGTCACTATCACTTACCACAGACAATGATGAGCAGCTTCGAAGTCTGTTGGTAACCGTTGGTAACCATTGGTTGGTTGTTCCAAACTCATAAAAATTACTAAGATCATGTGTGTGTGTCTGTGTTTGTGTGTTTGTAAGTGAGCCATGATGCTAAATATCCAGCATGTTTTTAAGAATTTTGAGAGTAGTCTAAAATTCTATTGAAATTCTGAGCCTGTTGATCGCCAACTAGTAGTGAAATCATCACAGATCCATTGATTTTGTTTGGATTTTTATAATTTTTTCTGTGTAATGAGTATAGTGTTTGGTGAAAAGAATGGCATATTGCCTGATGTCATAACTTAAGGGAATAGTTGATTGCCAATGAAGTAAAGATGAAAATAGTGGAAAATAAGTGAAAAAACGCCTGTTTTTTTGCATTAAATTGATGCGAAATCATGTAGAAATGTGTTTTAAGAATTATTTTTTCAGTGGATGTTGTCCGCACATGTGTTCTGTGTATCTGGAATGCATTTATTGAGAACCTACCCAACCCACTAAGAATTTGATGAAAAAAATAATTTTTCACATTTTTCTGATAAAAAATAAAGGGTGCTTACACTAAAATGCCCACAATTTTTTTTCGCGATATTTCCGGCAGAGCAGACCCTCTAATTATTTGTTCTTAGGGTCAAAGTTAACAGAAAAAACACAAATAAAAAGTATGGCAGACCATGTCAGGTTCAACCCATTTTATAGAGCTTTTGAGACTTTGGCTCCCCGACTATTAAAGGGGCCACACCTTATTTACACATACAGTCTGAAATAAAACAAGATGAGAAATTAAATATTCCCAGCACTTTCTATGATGTAGTATGCTTGCTTATCAAAGGAAGTAATAAGAAATGACTCTTACATTAGCCTAGTGAGAACAGGGTGTTGGGGGAATCACTTTTTTTCTCTTTTTCATCACCCGCAATTTTGCAAGTTCCCTCAATTTTTTCAAATTCCTGCAATTTCATCGCATAAAATTGCATAAATTTACAGTATGATGCTGGCAACCACAGCTGCCAGTAGTTTACCGCGTAATCAATCAATTTTTGCCCGCAACAATCACAAAAAAACTCTGCGTTTTTCTGAAAGGACTGAATACTATTATGGTAAATGTTATATAAATCGCAAATCGTAAATCGCAAATTTTTTCACAAATTTTTGGTAATTACCACCACAAAATCAGTCATTTTGATCGCAAAAATCACACAAAAAAATCGTATGTGCATCCTTAGTTCTGGTTAGTTCTGGCAGGTCACGTTAGTCAAGCTCGCATCAGCCGACTATTAGCTGATCCACCTCCCCCTATAGGAATATGACGCCTATCACTGTACACATATATAAGCTCCTTCAGTATTATCAGCAGCTATCACGTTTCTCAGGAGCTCATTACCCTTCTCCCTCCCCAGCTCCACTCGTCAGTCAGGACTTGACATTCTGATTCCCCAAGAATCTGAATAAATTCTCGAATTATATTGTACTTTGAATTTTGAAATAATCTGCAAAACATTCATGTTGGTTCTGTTCTGTTTACCCCAAGGGGGTTATTGCTGCTCCTATCCATGCTAGGCTTTAACAAATTTTTAGTGTGGGCAAAAATCTAAATGAACGTCATGAAACACAATTTAATCGCATCAAACGTGTTCAGATTAGAACTGCTGTATTCCTGCAGCTGAACCACAGCCGTGAGGATATCAGGAAACATCCTCACTCTCACTCGCGCTAATAGTAGCATGCAGTGTAAGCCTGTATGGAAGAAATATAGGGGGAATTAAATAAATAAAAATATTAAAGAGGTGAATGGAACATTACAGGATAATATATTTGTATTTATTGTGATCAACAATTATATTCTAGCCTCTGTTATAGACCATTTGGGGGGTTTTGTCACCACCGTCACACGGTATGTCACCACCGTCAGATAGAAAACCTGACGGTGGTGACAAAACCTACTCTTTCACATGATATGCATGAGTTGTTCACATTATAGCCATCTTGTTTCCCCTCTGTTGCTAGCTACTTCAGACCTCTTCTTAAAAAGTATACAATTATGTCATAATCTAATCTAGTAGAAGTAGCATTCCAATGGTATTTTGTGTGTTAGTTAGCGAAGAGGCTAGCTGTGTTTCGGAGAATTATTTTACTATTTAAAGACGCAAATCTTTATGAGAGATGTCGTTACCGAGGCCAGGGACAACATGCGCTGTTCGCGGTTGTATGTATAACCGGACTAAACTAATTCAGTGGCTTAACGTGATTGTTTTGAACATATGCTGAAAACTAAATGATCCTGCCATCGACTGAAGTTTCCATCAACCTCCCAAAAGACAACGAATCATCCTGTGTACATTTGTTTAAAATCTTAATATTCTATAAACTCTATCAGCATGTGTTTGGCTGTTCGCTACTGATGTTACACCGACCTAAACTCAGGATCAAAGCCTGTGTTGACAGAATACCAAATGTGCCAGTTAATGTATTCAAGCAGCACATTCATTTATAATTTTGAATAAACTCCAAAGCACAATGAGTAAGTGTGTATTTTTTATTTTAATTGTTTGTCAGCTCGCACAACTGTCTGTCACCATGCCTTGATGAGTATTGATTATTAATAATGTTATTATAATACTCCCAACCAACTACTGCGGAGGGTAAAGGTACTGTTATTTCACCCTTTTTAATTTCGTTGAGGTTGTGTTCCCACATCGTTAGCTAGTTTGGATCGCTATAACTTGAATGACTGTCAACTGTTGAATGAACGAGTGTCAAGCATGTCAAGTAGCGCTTTTTTTACTTCAAACCGGAAGTCGCGCCCACTTTTGACGCAAGGCCTCATGGGGCGTAGGAAACTTGTGGATATACGCTAGTACATGGGGGCATTTAATAAGTAAAAAGAAATCGCTAGTTTATACCACTAACAAGACTCAAAATAGACCCACACTAAAACAGTAACATAATGAGGGTCCATGCATGCAAAATGAAGCATTGAGAACTTTGTAAGTGTACAGACTGTTTAATAAGAAGATATTTTATAAAGACAGACCACTTCGTGTATACAGACAGAAGCCATCTTTGGAAAACAGTCACGACAAGTCGAACCACGAACGCCGTTCATACAGTTCAGCTCACTTGGCACATTGTTCGTGGTTCGACTTTTGGTTCGGTGTTTTCCAAAGATGGCTCCTGCCTGTATACACGAAGTGTATAAACTATCTTCTTATTAAACGGTCTGTACTCTTACAAAGTTCTCAATGCTTCGTTTTGCATGTATGGACCCTCATTATGTTACTGTGTTAGTGTGGGGCTATTTTGAGCCTTGTTAGTGGTATAAACTAGCGATTTCTCTTTACTTATTATATGCCTCCATTACTAGTGTTATACGCTAAACAGTTTTTAGAGATAAAACTCTTTACATTCGATTATCATGAAAACAAATCTCAGAGAACGGTCGACTAGGTACCAATGTATTAGACCAAAGGAGTTTTCCTTTAAGTATAACTTTAGCTGTATTTTAACTCTTTCTATTTTAAAAACATTTAATTCTAGCTTCATGCATTCCTTTTGAACACTTGAATGTGGGAAAGTGGGAAAGACACTGAGAGCAGTGAAAACACAGATAGCCGGAGTATTGGCGGTGGATTTGAAGTAAATTGCTACGCACACTACCAGTGAACTAACCTAAACAAAAATTCAGATACTCAAAATTAGAAACATATATGTTTTCTTTATGAATCAGTATTTGCAAACAATCTACGTTTATAAGACAGTATGTAAAACTATGTGAAATATTGAATAGGCTACTCAATCAAAAGAGTACACACACAACTATACAAGCCAAGTATACTTCAAGAATATATATATTACAAGTATTTCTCAATCAAAAGATTGAGTACAGGTGAAGGCTAAATATACTTAAACTTTTTTTTGTCGGTACAAGTCAAGAATAACTTTAGCGCAATTTAAAATATATTTCTGAATAGTACATATTTCTTCAGTACATTTCTTATAAGAGCATAAACTGAAAGTTTACTTTCTTACTTTTTAGTTTAAAAGAAGTATATTAATAGCACACTTGAATAAATGTATTTTTCATAAGAGCATCCATGCAATACATAACTGCAAGTCCTAAAGCGCTAAATAAATAAATGTGCCTCGACTTCAGGGGCCAATCAGGTTTCAGATCCACCAGTGACAAACAGTATAATATAGAAAATCACATACTACTCTTGCCTGAACTTTTGTAGCTTTAATAAGAATTGGTGAATATTCAAATCATGCATATTCATTTTACAATGGTTCAATTTCTCATTGCTTATAATACAACATAGTTTCTCAAAATTTTGTTGTACCAAGTTACAAACTTATAACCATGCCAAATTACAGGCAAAGTACTACATTACCCACAATCCTGAAGTGGGACTCACCAATCAAGAGAAGCCGCTGTTACAATGGAAATGCATCCAAGCAATATCCATAGACAGAAGGTGTCTGAGATAGAAGTAAAGCTGTCTAAAGTTGGTAGATAGAAATGTTTGTTTGGTGCCACCAGTGAACATTGAGACTACAAAATATTTGAATAAAGTAATTATTTGCCCTTTTATCAGATATACAAGTGATGCAATGATATAAACACATAAATCACAGAGATACATGGATACATTAATGATAAGGCATGCAATGAAATATTTGCATTTCATAATTGACATTTTAATGTAGTGTTAGTTTAATCTTGGAGAAAATGATCATGAGGAACTTGGAAGCAAGGTTAACTCAAGCTAGGGTTGACATTCTGTAGTATGTTGTTGAAAATATGAATATTTGCAATACCACAATGGCAAAGTGTTCTTTTTTTTTGAACAACACTGTGTCTATATTGCGAAGATTACAATCGCAACTTGAGGCTTTGTACATTGCCAGCACCTTGCCAACAAAAATAAAACAAAAAAAGGAAATTCATTAGTATAAAAACAGACTTTAGCAAAACCAAAAAGCAAAACAATTTAAGGCAATGCTACAAATAAGTATGCGTGTGGTTAAAAAAAACAGTTATAACAGTTGTTTCAGTTATACAAGAAAGCAACAAACAGTAACAAGCGTTAGCCCACAGAAGGCACATGGCAGTGTGACGTCTTGAAGTGCAGGCAGCTTCATTGGGGAGCGGTCTAGTGTTATCATACATGTCTGGCGTAAGCTTGCAATCCCATTAAAATGTGAAAGTTCATCAACAAACGAGTTTAGCTTTACTGAGGTCGATAGCCGCTCTGCTGGGGCATGTAACTTACACCAGAGGCAGGCGGATCCTCCACGATGGGAGACGCCTCTTCCTCCTGCACTGGACAGAAAGTAAGAGAGCCTGCGTTGGGCTCGTCGCAGTCCCGAGTGAGGACGCCCGGCTCAAGCTCTCTGCCTCGTCTGAAGTAAGAGTTCCTGGAGTGGCCGCCGCTCTCGTTGAGGAGGTCGGGATGTTCCTCGCAGTCCAGAAGCGGCTGTGTGGACTCGGAGCGCGCGAACACCGGCGGCGGGTGGTTGGGCGTCTGGCCCTTGTACCCGCTGGCCACCACCGAGGAGTACTGCACGGTGCTGGCCGTGGTCTGTCCCGAGTCGCTCTCGTCGCTGTCCGACACGCTGTGGCGGGGCGACGACATGCAGGACGAGCCTCCGATGCCACTGCTGTGCTCCTCAGACAGATACTTGTCCTTCTTCAGAGGCAGCACGCTTTTGTCTTCCTCACACAACGACTTTCCATCAAACACGTCCACCTCCACCACGCTGACGTCTTCTTTGGGCATATCGGCCTGTTGAGAGGTTTACGAGGCATTAGTTTGTGCACCAGGTAGGGTTGGGAATCGAAAATCGATTCCAGAATACTTTGAGGTCAGTAAAAATTGGATACTTGTTATAAAATTTCGATTTCAACATGACTGTAAACAATTCAAACGCACACACATCCAAAACGTGCGCATAGAAAAGTGATTTACCGCGAGACGACGTGCACGCTGTTCTTAGTGCTGTAGGCATATGTCACAAAAGACAAAGAGAAAATTCACTTGTTCTTGACAATGACTTTTGTAACTATATTTTTAATGTATATTTTATTTATAAAGTGTGATGTTTTACTTTTAATTACAATTTCTGCACCTAAAATCTTGAAACACTGTTTATTTCAATCATATCTTTGTTCAGTTGTATCTATTTGTTGCGATTGCTTTTTTTTTATTGGTTCTTTTTTTAATTACGGAGTGTTTACTTGTCTTTACTAATGCTTGAAATTATTATATTAGTTAGGCTAGCTTTTTTTCTAAAGTATTTTTAAACCACAGGCCACACGTTCCTTGTGTAAGTGTTCTTTAGCCTGTTAATTTTTGTTCATGATATTTTCCTACAATTAAATGTTTTGCAAAACATGTTTTGTTTAGTTTTTTCCTTAAAATTAGGAATCAACAAGAATGGGAATCAATGAGCAGAATCAAAATTGAAATCGTAATTGTTGAAATTCAAATGAGACCCAGCCCTAGTACCAGACTACTTAAAGGGATACTCCACTTTTTTTGGAAATAGGCTCATTTTACAACTCCCCCAGAGTTAAACAGTTTAGTTTTACCGTTTTCGAATCCATTCAGATGATTTTCTGATATTTAGAAGAATATCAGCAACAAGACAGTTTCTAGTCCCATTGACTTCCATAGTATATTTTTATTTTGTCTTTTTACTGATATTCTTCTAAATATAAAAAAAATCTGCTGAATGGATTCAAAAACGGTAAAACTCTGATGAGCCTATTTCCAAAAAAAGTGGAGTATCCTTTTAAGTACAGTATGTCCAAACACACTTTAAATGCAGTTGGGCAATAAGCCACTATTTGTGTTATAATATCAATAGTTTACAGACGACCTTCATTTAAAGGGATACTCCACTTTTTTTGGAAATAGGCTAATTTTACAACTCCCCCAGAGTTAATCAGTTGGGTCTTACAGTTTTCGAATCCATTCAGCCGATTTTCAGATATTTAGAAGAACTTCAGTATCCAGACAGTTTCTGGTCTCATTGACTTCCATAGTAGGAAAAAATACATACTATGGAAGTCAATGAGACCAGAAACTGTCTGGTTACTGATATTCTTCTAAATATCAGAAAATCGGCTGAATGGATTCGAAAACGGTAAAACTCAACTGTTTAATTCTGAGGGAGTTGTAAAATGAGCCTATTTCCAAAAAAAGTGGAGTATCCCTTTAAGGGTGAATCTCACAAAACTGTGGTCAATTATGACCTGGGCATGTACAAGTTCAAAGTTAAAAGAAGAACAAAATGTTCTTTCATGTTAATAATAAAAAAAAAAAAACAACAACATTTAACATTTAACTGTCTTTATACTTGTATAAAAGAAAATAATTGTATTAGCAGGGTTGCCAACTCTGAAGCATTTGGCATGAGACACAGGTTTGAAGGCTTTCTCACACGCCACCCAACTAAACCTCATACCAAATAACAAGACAAAGCAAAATAAATCTGCTCACAGGACTTTCCCACAAGCCCCAGGCAGTCAGAGAAAATGAAGAAACTGCTGTGAGATGGATGTGTGTGCACCCACACCAGGCCAGATACGGGTCTATTTTTCCCAGACCACTAAGGAGGGTGATACACTCGTTGTGAATGAGATAAATACAAGCACTCTCAGTAAGATCACTTACAAACGTTTTTTTTTTTTTTTTAAGAAAGGAAAAAAAATAGGAATGCATTTTCACGACATTCATCAACATTTACCCAATAAAAAGAAGAGTAACTAATGGGATCTTAAAATAGTAGCCTGCCATTTATTTGCCATTTATAAACATTTATATTTGCTCATGTCCTTTTTATTTTCTTTATACAACACATTGATATTATATTGAATGTTTTTTTTTGGAAGGCACATTTGCTTTTATTATACTTAGAAAATCAATTATTGCTTTTGAAATACAAACATTTGCAGTCATGTCTGCCAATCTTGTGTCAAATGTATAGTGTCTCAGGCAAATTAGTGACTTTGCTCAAATCAAAGCAAACCTTCTTATCAACTTGTTGGACACATTACAAGTTCAAAATGATTCATCTTACATTGTTTTAGGCCCCGTCCACACTACTGCGTTTTCGTTAAAAAACTGAGAATTAAAACGAATACGATCTCCATCCACACCAGCGTTTTATCTGCGAATTAGAAATGATCTCTGTTCACATTAAAACGACTGAAAATGCGGATCATGTGACCATTCACCAACACTGGGCATGCGTGTGCCGGTGTAAACAGTGATTGACGAATCAGGGAAGGATACGTCATGACTGATAACACCCAATCATGGAGCCGAGCGTAAGCCTCTGCGTCAGCGTTTCTGAAGTCCTATGTTTTGTCTCGTCCACACTAAAACGGAGATTCAAAACACAAAACGCAGCTGCAGCATTTCTAAATTTCTCCGTTTTAGGTCCTCGTTTTTCCCGTTTTAGTCTGGCCGGGAGGTGCAAACGTAGCTCCGTTTTTAAACGAAAACGCAGTAGCGTGGACGGGGCCTTAGAGCAGGGCTCTCCAACTTGTCGCTTGCGAGCTACCAGTAGCTCGTGGCCTGATTGGTGGTAGCTCGCCAAGGGGCCTGTTCACATATTGCACTCACATATTTTTTTGCACGCTCAAGCTCGTTATTTCAAATGTTTTCTACTCGTTTTTAGGCGCCACGTGTGAATCCGGCCTTAAGCGGCTGGCTGTTCTGCTCCCACTTGGCTGTCATTTAGAAGTTTCTTAGATCATGGAGTTTGTAGATGAATCTAGCTTGAGATGGGCTCTACCCTTTCTCAACTCTCAGCCGGGAGGCGGAAGCATGCTCTGAGGTCTCTTCTGGCCTGAGGCAAGGCTCCAGGGAGGTGTGCTCAGCATCGAGGAAGGGCAGATCAGGGACTTGCCACCTCCCTCCCCTTCTTATGAGGAGCTTGTGACTCACGCCGTTCGCAGATTAAATATCACTTGGCTCCACCAAGGTGTCGAGCTCTTGGAGCGAACCGGTTTCTGCTTGTTTGTCTTAATGAACGCATTTATGGGGTGTTGCCTCAGGTGGAAGAGATGCTCGCGCTCTATCTCTCTCCTGATGTGTCATCATCCCGAAAGGCCCAGACATTACACACCAAGCTGTGTAGAACAACTTCGTATTTGGTGGGTAAAGCTTACACGGCAGTGCACAACCACTCTCGACTGAGGTTGTTGAGATCATTTAAAACTCTCCCTCTAAGAGGCACTTTTACTCCTTAAAGTGGAGAGTCTTCACTTCACAGTGCAGAGAATGCCGTTTGGACCCAGTTAACCCAGTGGTTTGGTGTTGGAGATCTTTCAGGATAGTTTTCCTCTTGGGCTATCTCCCCTTCCACTCTGAATGTATAAGTGGTTTATGAGGCATGTGGCATTCCTTCGCCTCAGTTAGGAGTTTGGCGGCCTCTAAGGTCGTTTTCACACCTGAAAGTCTGCATCAAGGTCCGAACCAAAGTTCAAGTTTTGATACATTTTATACTTTCAGAAAGTTTTGGTTTGGTTTCACACTGCAATAATGCGAGCGCACTAAAGAACTTTACGTGACATACTTGCGTCCTGTCGTCATCATCTATGTAGGCTGCATCTTGACATTGATTGGTTTAGTAAATGGACGTGCGTCTGACGTCAGCGTGTTGTCAATTCCCCGGGTAACTTTGACAACATGAACGAACAGACGCATATCGTTGCAACTATATTGTTATTTTTATGGCATAATTACCCGCAGCACCAACTATATAGAAGGCTAGTTCAAATTCGCCAAATGAACGTCCTCGTCGTGCAAACATTTTATCGTCGCCGGCAGGAAAGGAGGAGAAGATTGCATGTTGACTTCTTATTATGGCGTCAGACCATACTTCAATTAAAAACCTCATCTCCTCCTCTCCCCATGTGCTACCACGGCTCATTTTTCCTGCCACCTTCTGTTTTTTTTGGCTTTTTGGGAACCACCAGAACTTCCTGTAAAAGGTCTGAAAGTCCGAACCATACATAAATGCTTTCACACTATAAACGAACCAAACCTTTTTTCAGCTTGATCCGGACCGAGACTACCTCTTTTCGTCGGACCAAATTTCATCTGTTTGGTCCGGGGAAGGTTTCACACCTCTAATTTTGATTCGGACCAAACTGAAAAGTCCACAAGGTAGTCCGGACCAAACAAGGTAGGTGTGAAAGGGCCCTAAGACTTTGTTATCAGGGGTTTCCTTTCAAGAAGTATGTGATGCAGCGAGCTTGGACTCTCCGCACACATCTAAAAAAAATCATAGCCTGGACTTGGACTCCACACCGGGCTCTGATGTCCTTCTGATGTCCATGATTCATACTAGGACAGGCATTTTTCAGTTTGGCATAGTGGCAAATGTACATCACTGTACATTCCACATATTATTTAATGGGGCATATATGCATTGTGTCATAAGACACATGACATGGCTGCCTTTTTATTCACATTTACACTGTATTTTTAACTTGGAGCCCAACCGTGAACATTTCTGAGTGGGAACTTGGTAAGTAGTCTTTTGAGTCATAGCATCAATGATAAATATAATACATGTTTTTTGTGAGATTTACCCATAAGTTATTTTGATGCTTTATAGCTCACTGACCTTTACAGGAAAATCAGGTGACCAGTGGGCAATAGAGCTGTCAGACGGGTCAGGGACCTGTGGCCACAACAGCTGCTTAATCCTGAACAGAGGAGAAAGAAAATAAACACATTCAACACCACACAGCACCAAGTACTTCTATTATAAGTAGAATCCAGAATTCACAATATATAGAAGAATTTATGGCGATAAGCAATTTCTTTTTATTTGGTGCTTTTTTAAGTTACCTAAAGAGCATATCATTAGACTAGTTGTCTAACTGTCAAGCTCCAATAATGACAAAAAGCACTATTAAAAGTAACATAATACAGTCTGCAGGACACTTGCACTAAATACACCTCTATGGGTTAACTCAAGTCTCCTTCAAGCAATCTGAATATGCACATTTAAAAATTGGTGCATAGTGATCCGTTATAAGACACATTCAGTCGCAATCAATCATGTATGGCATCATTAACGTCAAACCTGGTGCAAACCTGACATGGTTCGACTTGCCTTATTTAAAGATATACAGGAATGAGAATTATGAGCTGTGCCAGAAAAGATTATCAGTGATTTACAACTTTAATTTCAGTTTCCCCACATAAGTCACATGACTCAAGAAGGTTTGGAATATAACAAATTAATAAAACGTACCGCTGCAAGTTGTATGGATTATTAAGCATTTATTGCAACGACATTTCTCATTAAACAGCCAGACTAACTAATGGCTTGGCACAAACTGTACCAGGGAAGAGCCCAAACAGGGCTTTCTTCTGTCTAGACATAAATTCACCTACGCGGCGTGAAATATTAAATCTCATAAATATTAATTTACTTCACTTCTACACACACAACTATTCCCAGCCTAGAAAATTTGGCACACTGCCTGTTTTATTTAGCTGACCAACTATCAAAGTTAGTGTTTGTGAGGCACAGATTACACAGCAGTGGATCAGGCAGTAAAACCAAAAAACATGGTTAATATAGTTAAACCATTGTAGTCACAGGGTTGGTTTTGCTACACTAACTAAAATAAACCCCCCAAAAAACTAATGAGATCAGTTTTTTCATGTTCATGAGAAGGGTCAAATATGTGATAAATGAACGTTTCATAATTTTTTTGAAGACAAAAACGAGAAAACAAATTATCCGAAGGTACACAAACGGTTCTGGTGCCTTTTGTCATTTTTTTTATGCCTAACAGCGCTTGGTCATAATTTACTTTCTTTATATAGAAAGAAGGAAGTAGCACAGATTTGTTTCGCCCTTTTTGTTCTCAACAGATGAAACACTACGAACAACACTATGAACTGCCGTTGTAGAGAATAAAAGCTGCATAAAGATATTTGTCGACTGCATGAAACAACATAAGAGTCAGTAATGACATCATACGTAATGATGGGAGTAAGTAACAACATCATTTACCTTTAATAAAAAAAAATGTTTACATTTTATCTATTTAAACTGCATGTATTGTTGTATTGTGTAATATAAATAAAAATGCTAAAATATTTTCAAAATTGTGTCTTGTTTTAGTTTAGTGAACATTTAAAATAAGCAAAAAACATTACTTTTTTTTTTTACTGTACTTATTTCTTGAATTAATTACATTAAATATACTTCTGAATTGTGTAAATTGTGCACAAAGTTTACAAAGACTGTTACGGCACTTTTAAGCGATCTTATATTAGCATTTCAAGAGCAAGGGTTCTCTGAACTAAACTGAATTGATGAGTTAGAGTTGAAGTTTCGCTTTGTGTTTCATTTTGAGTGGAGAAAAGTACAGACTCACACTTCTCTTTTCCGGAGAAAGAACATTATAAAAAAGACAGTCAGGAACAGGAAGCTGAGGCAAACCACGACTACAATCACCTCCACCTCTCCATCACCTACAGACAGGAAACACATCACATCAAAGCATCAACGCATGTCACATCCTTGTGTAGCTTGTTTAACATCACAATAAAATAGGACATCATTAAGAATTGAATAAGAAATTTAAAACACGAGGATACATACCATACTTCATTGTTTTGAAATTAAAGTCTGATCCATTTTTGGAGCCTGCTACTGTTGAAGCCATGATGTGAATCACATAATCCATTTCACTGGCCAGATCAGTCAGTACATGTGATCGGACATTAGCAGACACCGTCACAGCTGCCAAAAACATTTGAAACAGATCTGCTTGTGAAATCATCACACTCATTTCATCACACATTACAAAACCATCATGTGCTGAACATACATTGCCAGTGCTCAGTGTTGCCGGCCCTATAGAATATGGTGTAGTTGGTGATGAAGCCACGCCGACTGTCCAGGGGTATTTCCTCCCATGTCAACTCAGCACTATTTTTCTTAGATTTTGTAACTGTGACAGTAGGGCCCTTTTCTGGAGCTAGAAAAAAAAAAAAAAACCACACCACACCACAAAGGTGTTATAAGTGTGTTCTTCAGAAATGCATTAACTTCACATTAACAACTTAACTTGACAGTTCCATTTAAATATGTGACGGATCTGAGATACATACAGTCTTGTTGAATGTAGGCTGCTATGGTCACTGGTCGTCCTGCTTGGATGGATGGTTTACTTGCTTTGGTGTGCAAGCGATGCTTGTAAATTGGATACAGAGATATGTTGTACTGCTTCAGTTTTTCAAGACCTTCAGAAAGGAGAACAGACTTTAGTCACCTTAAATGCCAGCTACATTGCTCTCAAACACTGCAACTGTAACTATATGTGTGTGTGCATTGTTTTATGTATGTGATTCCAGGCGTCACTACAGTGTGCATTTTCACTGCAGCTCCACTTTATTTCGCCGGTTTGGAAAGCGTGCAGTTTAACACTAACAAATCAGACCCCAGGAACCGTCCCAAATGCCACACTAACTAATCAGAAAAAGATAGAATTATTATTTTTTGGGGCAATAATCATTTTCATGACCGATCAGTGCCGTCACGTACGAGTAGTCGAGTGCCCATCCCTAATATATATATATATATATATATATATATATATATATATTAGTGCTGCCAAACGATTGACCTATTTGGTCCCACTTTATATTAAGTGGCTTTAAGTACTAAGTACATTGAAGTTACTACTTTGATACATTTGACTTATTGTGTACATACATGTTTTTACATTGTACTAATATTATTAAAATACCTGCATGTAACTACAATTGTAATTAATTGATGTAATTACATTTGTAATTACACAGTTGACCCTTCCCTTACACCTTAACCCACCCTGATATCTACCCATACCACCACACCTGTCCCTAACCTTACCCATATCACACCTCAATAGCAGCAAAAGTGTTTTACAATACAACCTGAACACAATAAGTACATTGTACTTATATTCCTATGTAAGTACATAGTACTTAAAGCCACTTAATATAAAGTGGGACCAAATATTTAATCGCGATTAATCGCATTAATGTCATAGTTAACTCACAATTAATCGCAATTAATCACACATTTTTATTAGGGATGCACCGAATATTCGGCCGCCGAAAATTTTTGGCTGAAAATGGCCCAAAAGTGCATTTTCGGTTTTCGGCCGAAAGACTTTTATCACCGAAACAATACGGCTGAAATGTTGTGATGACGCAAACAGAAACCGCGACCTGCACGTGCTTGTCTGAAGCAACAAGTCTGTGGTGTGGACGTATTTCAGTGTATCTGAACCCGCGATGAGACGGAAACCTTGTTTATCCACCTATATCTGCTCTAAACAATGCGTGCCGTCAAGAGCGGGGCGCGCGCTGTCTGTGTAGACTCGGCGCTGCGGAGGCAGGCGAAAGTCTCCACAGACAGTGCGCGCACCGCTCTTGACCAGCTCGCAACCGGAGTCGTCGTCATGGCGGCACGCATTGTTTAGAGCAGATATAGGTGGACGAAACAATTAAAAATTATAAATAAGACTCGCGCTTCGGAGGCAGGCAAAAGTAAGGCAGCGCGAGTCTCCACAAACAGCGCGTGCACCGCTCCAAACGGTCGAGGCGTTTATACTTGACGCGCTCTCCGTTGTACTATTCCTTGAAACGACAGGGGACGACTCAAGTAACTGTCCTCTAACCATCAGGAATCGGTGAGAAGAAGACAGATAAATACATGACAATGTTTATTTTTTAGTATTCCACCACCAATACAAAAATAATCATGTAAAACCCAGTAAACCCTGAGATTATTACTTGTGACATTACAAAAAAATATGTATATGGGAACATGTATAGAACTAAATTAATGCTCTCTTAAAAATTTTCTACATTCACTAAACATGTTTCATTAAGTTTCATCATTTGTATTAAACATGGACCATTGTTCATTTAAAAAGGCTTTTTATGCTATTGTATGCGAAATTTTTAAAATGTAACTAATTTAGACGGGTGCAAACTGGGTGCTAGTGTGATGAGAAGTTTGTGCTCAGCTTTGTTTTTATGAGAGAACATTTCATTTTAAAACCTTTCTGCAGGCCAGTAGATTATTATTTAGTGTACACATGAGTGGGGTCAAGTTAAACATTTTAGTTTGAATTTTATTTTATACTGTGCGTTGTGCTAAATAAATATTTGCATAATTTGTAATTGATTTATTCTTTGAAAATGTTATATTAATTTATGCAATTGCAATGCCTTGATTTTAGTAAAGTTTGTACACAGTCATAGCCATAAATGCAATTGATACTAATATTTGGCATAATTTCTTTCGGTTTTCGGCCTTGGTTTCCTCTTTTTCGGTTTTCGGTTTCGGCCAAGAATTTTCATTTCGGTGCATCCCTAATTTTTATCTGTTCAAAATGTCTCTTGATTTCTTTTTGTCCAATTATTTTTTTCTCATTTTAATGCTATTATCAACATGGAAAAGTGGATCGGCTTGCTTTGAGCAAATGTTTTTTATTGAACAACAACGTTGGCATATACTGTGTTCAATTTCACACTAGCATTCTCACTTGGAGCAAAAAATCTCTCACACAATGCAACACTGTCCATCAATAAAAGGGCGAAAGGAATACTGACGAGGTCCTGATATTGACGTTTGACGAGGGGCCGGAGAATTCGCATCAGCTGTGTGTGTGTGTGTGTGTGTATATATGCGTGCTTGGCCATCATCAAGCGGTATTTCAGACTGGACGTGCTGTGATGATGATAGCTCAGTTCACAATGACAAAACACACAGATTACTTTGGTCTTGTCAATGGAACCATTTGGCAACTTTTTAAAAGTAAACTTTCCATTCAGAATCTTATTGGCATCCATTTCGGCGTCTCGCGCTCGTCATCCACTCAAAACATAAGTTAACCAAATATTTGCCCGTCTCGCAAGCTCAAACGAGTGTGTGCGGGATGCCTATTGTTTTGTTTACGGTCTAGCTAGATCCGCTTGCGCTTTGGTCGGCGAAGCAACAAAATGTCCTCGCGCGGCGCAAGCCATTGAAATGAATGGGGTTCATAGCGCAGCACTGCGCATGCCGCATCCTGTTGCAAAAGCATGTGAAAAAAATACAAAGGCCAAAAAAAACATTAATCGCGCAATAAAAAAATGTATGCCGTTAAAATGGGTTCGCGTTAATGCCGTTAATAACACGTTTAACTGACAGCCCTAATAATATTACTTTTCCGGCATTGAGACGAGAACAGAGTCAAAACCAAAACTTGCAGTGTTTCTTCTGTGAAACTTCAGCTTAAACAGTGCTGTGAAAAATGCATTTCCCTGACTGATTTTCTGTATTGTTGTATATCTTTTTGACTGAATGTCATCAGATATTCAACCAAACCTACGAATGCATAAAAGTGAACAGTTAAGCTTCACGAATGAAAAAGTTACACCTTTCATGTATTCGGGAAATTTGTAGAGCTGCAGGATTAATTGTTAAAAGATTGGGATCTTGATTCAGATCTCATTCCTAAACAACAGCAATTTGCCTGTGTCAATTGACAAAATCACAGTGAACATTCAGATCTGCGCTTTAAACCAGACAGAGCAGTTGTTATGAATAGGTATGGAACAGCGTCACAAACAGTCTTCTCAACCACACACTAACATTATTTCTGTGTAACAAATATTCAAATGATCACAGAACTACTGGGATAAAAGTTTATAGTTTGGACAAAAGCACTGATGTCTTCGGAAGCGATCAAAATACAGTAAATCACCTTCTGAAAGTAACTTGATGCTTTAAATAATGATTACATCAATTACATCAGTGACTAGTGTTGGGTACCGAAACTCGGTGCCAATAGGGAACTGGTTCTGACGTTAACGGTAGTAACCAGACCGAATTAGAATGAACATTTCGGTGCCTGATTTCGATGGCTGAGTCTGTGCTGTGGCATTCATTCCCTATTCCCTATCGCAGTGTCTCATTCCCTATTCAGAGATCATGGGTAACACAGAGACGTTCTCTTTCATATACTCAAAGCTGCGTATAAGACGCAGTGGGAACGAAATATCAAACTGGCTAAGAGCTTAACTAGTAAATGACAAGTTAACTTAGCCTAGATTACTAGTTAAAGCAGACAAAACATGGGAACCTGTAGCCATGTCGATATTATATTAACCTGGTAGTAATCTCTATTAATCTCCAGTATAATTACATTGTTTAATATATTGTTTTATTTGATATTATGTAAATATGAACTTTTATTTTATATTGGTTTATTTATTATTACCATATGATACTTGTATTTATTTTGTAAGTTAATATTGTGTCCAGTTTGGCCCTGTAAATAAAGGGGTATTATTATTTTTTTGACAAAGTGTGTGCGGTTTCGTTTTCTTAAGTACCGTTTCAAGAACCGTTTAGGCACCGGAACCGTTTAAAAAAAATACCGAGTAGGTACTGGTATCGGATAAAACCCAACCGATACCCAACCCTATCAATGACTGTTGAAAATGTATTTGTCATTGAATCATTCATTTAAGAGATTCAATCAAAAACGCTGATTCATCCAGTAATGAAACAAGTGAAGTATTTATGAGAATTTTTTTTTTAAATATTTCAGATTAATTAAACATTTTAAATAGACTCCCTTTTATCAAAACCTTTACATTTTGACAAATTATACATTATTATGTTTAGTTGTCTGTTAAGAATCATGGGAAAATCATGATCTCTGAAGTTAAAAAAATTCTCAATGCAAGGTTTTATAACACCCATAACTCAGTGTGAAACAGTGACTTCCCCTTGAGCGTCCACAACACTGCTGTAACAGCAATAACTGCAAGCAAATGCTACAGACACAAGATGCACGAACAGCTCTAATAAGCAAAAAGCAAATTTACAATGTTTACTGACAATATTATATCTCACAACTTCTACGCAGAAAATTAGCATTTTAAAGACTGAATTAATGTTGTTTAAATAAAAGGGACAAATTCAACAATGTAATATGCAGAGCTTAAGTCAACATATTTAGCATTATTATTCATCCCGCAGCTGTACCACCGATAATCAGTGGATTCAGGTGTAAATAAATATGCACAGATTCCATGAAGCCCAGCTTATAAGCCAGTCGAGCTTTATAAAATATAGCACCGGTACCGGTAATTGTGGTGGTGTTGGCGTTGTGAGGAACTCTCTTCCATTGGGGCTGAAGCTCTCTCTGATGCACATTCACCCACTCCAGCAGGAATTCAGAGGGATGTCTGATGCTAGGGTGAGGAGGGACTCCAGTCCACTCCACCCGCAGCTCTCCGTCACGCACCGAGCAGCTCACACTTCCGACGCCAGGGAGCTCTGATGAACCACAAACACATCACGTTACATCTGTCATTAGCACTACTCTCTTATCCAAACATCAACATTACAGTATTATTAGACAGACATCGAATCAAATATATGCTCTTACATTTAACCGTTCTATTGTCCTATAATCGGTTAAAATGTTGTGTTCAGTTCTTTTGGAATTTGATATTTTATTGTATATTTTAGAGCTAGAATTTTAATTCATGTATATCACATAAACATGGCCAACAATATGGCTGACTTTTGCATCCACCACAACAAATTCATTTATTACTATTAATATCACACCATCTTTCCAGATTAAATGGTTTTCTGTTTTCATTTAAAACGGTGTCGTGTAAGCGGCCCCTAAGTTAATGACTAATGATCTTTGCAATGGAAGTGAATCAATCAAAAACTAACTTTAGCAGGACAATAACTTTATTCTAGAGTTACTTTAAAGGGGTGGTATGATGCTCCTTTTTAAAATATGTAAAATACAGTGGTATGAATAAGTTTTGGCACCCATGCTAAAGTTGCCTAAAAAGAGGAATAAAAAAATCATCTTTTGGATATTGATCTTAATGCCTTAATTAGAAAAATGAGGAAAAGTCCAACCTTTAAGGACACCAATTTTCTTTGCATGGTTTTACTTCAGTTAGCCTAATAGCTGGTTTGATTTGCATTGAAAGATGATCTTATGGAAAGTACCCCATGCCAATCTCTAGGTGTGGTGGAAGGTGTGTGATGATGTGGGGATATTTTAATTCCAAAGGCCAAGGGAACTTTATCAGGATGCATATTATCCTGGATCCATGAAATAACTGGCTTTTAAAATTAAAAATCTGCCTGACTCTATGGGAATTTAACATAGGGGTGCCCTGACTTATGCACCCTGTATTTTAAGGAAAAACATTTATTTATTTATGATACATTATTCATTCACAAAGAAAATTGGTGTCCTTTAAGGTTGGAGTTTTCCTCATTTTTCTAATTAAGGCATTAAGATCAATATCCAAAAGACGATTTTTTATTCCTCTTTTTAGGCAACTTTAGCATGGGTGCCAAAACTTATTCATACCACTGTAAGTCACTGATGTGTGAAGTTTTAGCTCAAAATACCCCACAGATCATTTTTTACAGCATGTAAATTAAATTGTCTCTTTTTGAGGGTGAGCAAAAAGCGTGTTGTTTTGGGTAACGCTTCCTTTTACAGTCCAGTTACCCATTTTAGTAACTACAATTACTGGGTAATAACTAGTACTAACCTTGAACCTACCCCTGTTCCATGTACTTACTTTATATTAGCCAGTACTTTCTAGGTAAGTACACTGCAAGTACCCTATAAGTACTGTACTGTAAAAGGAAGCGTTACCTCGTTTTGTGTGTGTCCCTTTAAATAAAAATGAGCTGTGGCTCCCGGCCCAGGGGCGGGGCTTCAAGAGGATGTGACAGCTTGAGCTGACTCACAAATGTGCTTGGACTACAACCACTCTTCCTCTTCTCAACCCTGCTTGCCTGTTCCCAGAGGCGGGGTTATGTAAATTTTACGGTTGGTAATGGGAGGAAACCCAGGAGGAATGTGGTGTAGTCCCTACCAGCCGTTTGTTGTAGTCCTTAAAAAAAAGACTTTAAAAGCAAATATCTCCCTTTGCTTTGAACTTTGAGTGGTGTAACTTTGCAGATGTTGTTTATGCTCAAACAGCAATATTACACACTAACTAAAGTTAGAAAAGTGAAATCATAATCAACCACCCCTTGAATTTCTTATTATCACTGTAAAGCTGCTTTGAAGCTATCTATATTGTTAAAAGCGTTGTGTAAATGAAAGTGAATTGACTATCTGGTGACGTACTACAGGCGTTCTGAAGGAGACAAGAGAAGGGTTCAAATGTTGCATGTATATTGAACATATACATTTAAAAAGTCAATTGTTTAAAATAACTAATGAAAAATACAGAAGTCTTCAATATACCTTGATCTGATCTTGGAATGAATAAAGTTGCTTTAGGAGACACTCCAACTGAATTGGCTGCAGTTATTTCAATGTTTGCCTCTTTTCCTGGTGGCAACTGCATCGGATGCCTCCGATTATCTGGTGTTTCATCGGTTCTTTCAAGCTTCCCGTTATCTTGACTGATATACAGGTCATATTTAAGTATTTCTCCATTAGCTTTCACAGGAGGCTGTTATAGGAGACAATATTAAAGTGTTTAATATTAAACTTGTCAACAGAAATTGAATATAACACTATCAGAGATTTCTACAATGTACAAACACTATAAGATATTTAATCGTTTGCCAGGTAAAAAAAAAAAAAGAAGGAATTTACCTGCCATAGTAATATGATATTTCTATTATCAGAAGTGGGCTGGATGATTCTCCACAGATCTGGTGCGCTTGCTGGCTCTGAGGAAATGCAGGTTCAATAAGTAAGCAGTGATTCTACTAACTTAAATATGCATTTTAGTAGCTTTGACAGCAATTCAGCTGCTTTTTACATCACTTTTTTAATGTCATGTTGTTTGTGCAGACTTTACTGTTTGCACACACTTTACTTTCAAGCTAGTCCAGAGAATAGTCAAACTCACTCTCTTATTTATCTCATTGGAAAGTCAAATTCGTTTTATTGAAGTGGTTAGTCTCACATTACACCTGTAAATGATCTTCTCCAATTCATTAGTGAGTCAAACAAAAGAGTACTTAATCCTGTATTTAAAAGTATGTGTTTTGAAAAAACTTAAATGCTAAAACTCTTGTGTTGACAATCATTTGGTTCAGCACAAATCTTGTAAATGACATATTTTGTCAAGTCAAGTGACAAGTTTACATCATTGGAAAGATAAACATTTTTTGTTATTACCTTGTAGAGCAGCAAACTAGTTTTTTAAAAGGGTAGCTTGAAGGGGTGTCATATGTAGAATTCAGAAAACCCTTGTTATTAGTGATTCAAGACCCTGATATACTCACAGCGGAGGCCTTTTCATTCTTTGCTTAGTAAAAGTACTCAGAAATACCTATGCAGCGATATACTGTAAATGTACATCCTGACGCTGTCAACACTGCTGAGAGTGATGTTTAGATGAACGCACATTTCCTCTCAAAAACAAAGTAAACACAACGAAAATAACAACGGTGAGAAAACAGCAGTTAAGAAAGCATCTGATCTTAGCGATGCATGACCTCTGCAATTCACCGGCATCATGTTGACAGTTTTGTTTACTGTTGACAATGTTCCTTACTGTTATGATAGTAATACGTGTATTAAAGACATAGATATTCACATCTGGCTTTTTATGAGACTATAGTTTGAATTAATCCCTTTTCTTTGCATGACACATTGACATTACAATACAAAATGGCTCTTTCGACATTACCCTCAACATCGTATAAGCATCCGTGTCATGTGTCGGGAGCATTTACATCACATTTTCTGGATTCTCCTGGCAAAAACTTCCAGAGTCCTTCACATAAAAATCAGCCCACAGGCTTTCATAGACAACCCAGGAAGTCGGGTAAGGTCTCCTCACAAGCTGTTCATAAATTGGCAATATAATCGCCTGAAAATTCGTAACTTTAAAGTCCCAGTAAAGTCAAAATTAAGTATGTGTTCTGAGTCTGTCATACCACAGAAAAATGTGTAATTAGCCACCCAGCCAAATTTGAATGATAAAAAAATCCGGGAAGTACATAAAATAAGCTATCAAAATCGCTGAAACCACGCCCACTCACGGGAAAGCTGTTGACGGTCATATTAGCTGATTAGCTTTTGGATTTTAAATGAATTTAAATGAAGATATGTTTTGATGTGTTTTGTACATGATCGCATCCAGGTAGTAGCCCATGCATGTCCGTGTCGAAGGCATAGCTAGCTAGTAAACTGTAGGCTCAGCTGTAGTAACTAATAGTACTGACAGTCACTCGCGATTGAGAATGCGAATGTGCTCGGGGAGTGTGTGTGGAGAGGGGGAGATCAGACTCTGTGCGTCATCAAATAGGGGAATGTCCAGCAGCTCATGGGTTCCAGTGCGTCATCGAGCCCTGTTTTAGCCCCGCCCAATTAATCCGTAAAATTGCAATGGTGAAAAACTGTTTAACGGTCTAACTCCACATTTCAGTACTTCACAGTTCACAGACTTTATAATATGTTTTAGCAATACATATGTAACATTTATAATGTGTTTAGAACTTTTTTGTAGAATTGCCTTTACAGGGACTTTAACTACTTTACAAAGCTACAGCTTCAAAGTAGCTTCCTGGCAACATTGTTCTGAAGCCATCCTCAGTGTGTAGGATTTTTTTTTTTTGCAATTCTAGGATCCTTCCATCAGCTGTCCAAATAAAAACAACCCTTTTTAGAAAAATGTTATAACTTTGGGAATAATACAGGTCATACCGGCTTCTGCAGTGCGAACTGTAGCATTGTTGCTCCAGTCACTCCAGTAGCTTTCATGCTGCTCAGTGCATCGCATCTGTACCACGTATTGAGTGTAAGGCTTCAGCGACTGCAGTCTAAATGACTCCTTGTGCCCTTGGGTGAAGTCCTCAGGCACCTGAAAGAGGGATTCAATTTATGAATAAAACAATAAGTGATTTTTTTTTTTTTTGATGTGAGGACTACATGGAATGCAAGATTTACACAATTCAAGCTTGTACTGCATTGTTTGAAATAAGAAAACCCCACTGGATCATAATAAAATGCTTTGGAGGGTAAATAAAATGTTAAATCAATTTTTCACAAATAATTACTATTCACATGAAAAAAAAAAATCATAATTTGCCTTGACCATTTTAAGGTCTGAATTGCTTTGGCTTTCTCTTACCTCGGTCCAAACATCTGAGTCTACTTGGCAGTATCTGATGGCATAATGGAGTTCCATAATGTTGTTATTAATGGGTTTTCTCCAAGTAACCATGAGAGATGTGGAGAAGTTAACTTCAGCAATAGGTTGGACCAATGGTGGATTGGGTTTCACTATAAAACAAATGCAAAAACAAATAAAACAAAAAAAAGTGAAGAAGATACCTGAAGTTACGCATCCATATAGAGTGTAAAATCCACTCTTTCCTAATGCAAAGCCCATATCTTACCAAACTTTGTAGCTTCGCATTGGAGTTCGTCTGACCGTACTGACCCCAGCCCGTTCTTCACTTCAACCCACACAATCACTCTCACGTAAAGCGGAAAAGTTTCCAGGTTGACGATGCAACTTCTTGCAAGATGCTGTTTACAGCTGTTGGAATCGTGTGTATTACCTCTATATACAAAAAGTTGAAGAAGAAGAAGAGGAAGTAAGTGATACTCTAGTCTTTCATTTTGAATTAAGGTGTAACAACTGATACAGTGTATTAGGTACAACAGCTACTCTTACAGAAGATGTTTAACATGAAGAGTGTAAGTGGTGTCGAGCAGCGGATCCCGCGATCCTGGATCCCAGTAACAGTTTAAGTGAGGGGAAATATCATTGCCCTCCTGGAGAGCAATGCACGTCAGATTCTCTGGTTTCAGCGGAGGGTCTGAAGGTCATAAAGAGAAAAACATTGTGTATAAAACAATTGTAAACAGAATACATAAATGAATAAAATACATAATAAAAAAGTAAAAGTAAATAATACATAAGCTTTTACATTATGAGAAAAACATTTCTGCTATTTCCCACAACAGAAGGGCTTCTTTTCTCCTTCATTTTTATAAACAAATTAATAAAGGATTCTTAAAGGGGCGGTTCACTGAAAACTGAAGATTGTCAATATTAAAGGGGTGATGAACTGAGAAATCAAATTTTCCTTGAGCTTTTGATATCTAAGAGGTCATCATATTATAAGAATATCCTGTAAGTTTCAGAACTAAAAAACGTCCTTGTTAGTCCAATAAAAGCTTTTATTTACACCAGCCTCTGAAAACGTCTCGTTTTGAAAAGTGGGGAACTATGACGTCGAAGGGGTTAAAACACCACCCTCGCAGAAGAAGATCAACACCTACTTCAACACGGCCGGTTTAGCCCCGCCCACCAATTCGCGCATTACACGCATAGCTAAGTAGCCTAACTTACATGCCTACCTCGTGATGACAAACCGGATCGTTCTACCGAGCAATACAGAATATTGTGCAGTGCCTGGTTGTGGAAGAAGACAGTCGCCGCATAAGCTTCCTCTGGATTCCAATAGGAATTCATGGATAAACTTTATTTTTAATGACGTTCCAGCTGATGAGGTAAAACATCGTCGTCTGTTCGCTTCATTTCACTGAGGATTGTTTTGTAAACAAGACTGGATTTGCAAACCGATTAAGAGTAAAGAACGCTGCTGTGCCGTCTATATTGGATCTGACAGGAATTGTGCAACACACGGACTCTGGGTCGAACATGTGTGGGCCAATCATTCCGACGGGTGAGTGAAACTCATTATAATATTCAAAACTGTTATCCACTCACAGCAGTGGGCGTTTATTTCCAAGTCTTCAGTGGGACACGCCCATAAAAACTGACCGTTTTTCAGGAAGGCTCACAACTTGGGTACAAAATAGCCTATTACTTATTCATTTTGATATTTTTGAATGCAAAAACCAAGCGAACGTCTCAAGTTGACCTCAGACAACAATATAATAACATTTTAAAAGCCAGTTCATGACCCCTTTAACCAAATGTTCTACAGCCACACACGAGCTTTATGTGTGAAATAATGATTCCGTTATTTGCTGAAAACATTCTTGAAATCTCATTTAACTCAAATGGGGTTTTTTGAAGGTTGTCACTAGGTGTGACCTCAACGATTATGATCTTTAAAGAAAAAAATACTAAATTTGAAATTGAACTTAAGCACTACTGCGATTTCAAATCTAAGGCAGGGAAAGCTTATAATGACTGAAATGTCTGTCTTTCCTGACACAAATGTCTTGAAATACACTGGATACTTTGCATATTTTTTTCCTGAAGAAAAGTCAATAGATTTCATTTTTGGTCAAACTATCCTACGGAGCCCCTAAAGGGACAAGGTGAAGGAAAACAAGACCAGACAGGAGGAAAAATTATGCCATTGGTTTTGAGGTTCTCTCGCAAATGATTTTCGTTCCCCTGAGAAACACCAACGTGATTGTAGCAAGAAGACACTCACATCCTGCAAGGACTGAGACTCCATAGGAACACGGTTGTTTGAACGACAAGGACTTCCTGCTGGCTGTGCACTTCAACCAGCCCTTCAACTTTCTGCTGGCGGTAATAGTAACACTGACGGACGTTTCATTTATTTTATGATAATGCTGCTTTGCAATGCTGCTGTTATCATCCAAAAACCATTCAATGTCATTTGAGGTGTAATCAGATCCCTCCCGCAGGTGACATGTCGCCGTGAAGTTTTTCCCCACCTCGACAGGAATACTACTGTTGGAGTCTGGAAGAATTTTTACGCAGGTTGTATCGGTTCCTGTGTGGAAAAAACACTAAATTGAATATCACTAAAAAACAATTAAGAAACTGTTAATTGGGAGTAAAAGACTAGTGACATGGCTTACCTATTGTATATTGCAAAAACATTAACAGTAAGAAGAAATGATGTGAAGTGTCCATTGTCACATCAAAACTGGTATCTGAAAAAAAGATAAAAAGATATAGATATAGTGAATACAGATAGTAGTAATTGCTACTTAGAATATTTCATATTCCCGTCTTTAGATTAAACTACATGATTTCACAATTGGGTCGAAAGGATGGCTCTCATGTGCTGCAATGAAAACTGCCAAGGTTTTAAATAACTCTCTACTATCAGAAAAAAAAACCTGCAAAAAAATTTACCTGTCTGTCATTGGACAATCAATTTTTCAATGAAGTAAAGTTTTTATCCAAGAAATTAGTAATAAAGAACACTGAAATAAATCAAGAGTAAGTTTTTTTGTTTGGTCTCTTGATTAATTTTCAGTTTAATATTAAGGACATAACTGTCAGTAAAATCACTGCTAATTAAATTCGGAAAATGTTACTCACTTCACAACTTATGCAGAACACGAAATCCAGGGGGAGGAGTTGGATCCAGATCCAACTCCTCCTACCTTACATATAGCTAAACATACCCATCTCCACCTCTGATCCCTAACCCCACCCCTAATCCTACCCATCTTCACCCCTTATCCCTAACCCCTGTTCCCTAATCCTGATCCCTAACCCCTGATCCCTAACCCCACCCCTGATCCCTAGCCCCACCCCTGATCCTATCCATCTCCACCCCTGATCCCTAACCCCACCCTAATCCTACCCATCTCCCCCCCAATCCCTAACCCCACCCCTAATCTTACCCATCTCCACCCCTGATCCCTAACCCCACCCCTAATCCTACCCATCTCCCCCCCCTGATCCCTAACCCCACCCCTAATCCTACCCATCTCCACCACTGATCCCTAACCCCACCCCTAATCCTACCCATCTCCCCCCCTGATCCCTAACCCCACCCCTAATCCTACCCATCTCCACCCCTGATCCCTAACCCCACCCCTAATCCTACCCATCTCCACCCCTGATCCCTAACCCCACCCCTAATCCTAGCCATCTCCACCCCTGATCCCTAACCCCTAATCCTACCCATCTCCACCCCTGATTCCTAACCCCACCCCTAATCCTAGCCATCTCCACCCCTGATTCCTAACCCCACCCCTAATCCTAGCCATCTCCACCCCTGATCCCTAACCCCACCCCTAATCCTAGCCATCTCCACCCCTGATCCCTAGCCCCACCCCTTATCCTACCCATTTCCACCCCTTAGATCTGGATCTAACTCCGCCCCCTCGATCTTGTGTACTGCAATGAGGTGCTACTGCTATTCTATGCCGTTTTGTTGTAGTGAGTTCACACTGAAAATAACAAAAAGAAAAAGACCACTTTAAATACCTCCTGGATGATGCATATAATTAACTGAGGATTGAGGAAAATGTTTTTATAATCTTAAAAAATTCAAACACTGCACTCAGTGCACTGATGAGTATATAGTGCATAAGTAAACAGCATATAAGCCCAAAATAAACCCAAAATTATCTAAATCTAATCTTACATAAGACTTTTCAGGTCATTCCCTTTACTAGAAACGTCTACTCATCCACATTTAAAAGTTTGCCCATTTTTAACCAGCTTAGTATAGTTACAATGTCGGTAGTGTATATAAAAGCTTCAGGGCTTCTATGAAGCTCCAGATAAAACTTGCATATTTTTGTATTCATTGTTTCGGATGAACAAATGAGCGAAAATCAAAAGTGAATGGTTTTGAACTTTTTGGCAAACACACTCTACAGCTCTTTTCTATTAATGTAGCATCAAAAAATGTTTTCACCTTTATACTGAATAGATAGCCAAGTTTTATTTAAAGTCCCCCTGTAGTCAATCATTTTATCCTTTAAAACTCATCTTGGACCACCAAAATGATATTTTCAATGATTTAACAATAAAAGCTGGATTTTCACCACAGGGGGACATAAAAACCTGTCTTGCCAGCAGTGTGAGCCATTTGGTATTTTAGAAAAGAGTGTTAGTTAGTTTGTTTGATTTACAGAAAAAAAATATGATAATGAAATTTAAAAACAAGGTAAAAAAAAATCTGAATAACCCAAGACAGCACACACATCAAAGCTAACTGTCAATCTCTTAATGAGCCACTGCTAACTTGAGCTCCTTATTTCCCTCCTGATAAGCATCCTGTTCATTTTCACACCATTATTCAAATAATAGATTTATAATAATGAAGGAAGTTATATTTGAGAAAATACAAAACCAGCAAGTGTTCAAAACTATCTGGCCTGCATGCCTTAGCTCGATTTAAAACGGTAAGCTTGTAATAAAGTTTTTAATTCCAGTGGTACTGGTGGATTTCTGTGGGAGATTCGACAATGTCATTGCGTCATTACATCACATCTGTACACAAACACGACACACACACATCTGTACACAGACACACACACACACACACATTGGGATTTTGTTCACTTTATCTCTCTAAGGAGAGATTATAAGGACTCTCCTTAGAAATAATGATTTTACAAACTTTACTTTCTATACCCTAACCCTAAACCAATAAAAAAGTCTGCTATTTTACATTTACAAAAAAAAAAAAAAAAAAAAAAAAAAAGATAATTTAGTATGATTTATCTAAGCTCATGGGGACCAAAATGTTGCTCTTCAACACAGTCTTACATATCACAACCAAGTAACACTCATTTATGGAGGACCAAACCTGCAGAAATTAAAAATAAGAAAATACATAGAAAAAAATAATAAATGTAATAATAGAACAATCAATAAAGAAATAAATGACTTGATTAAACAAATATAAATCATTTTTAATAAAATGTAATTTGAATATTATTATCATATATTAATTTCTGTATTTATTTTTATGTTTCATTATCTTTTATCTATTAAATTTTCATTTATTTACTTATGCGTTCATTTATTCATATAGATTTGTTTATTCCTACGTGTGTATTTATTTAGTTATTTACTTTTCCGTGTGCGACATGTAAATGAGGGAGGCGGTTCTTAATAAACATAGCGCCTATTTGAACTTTTGACTGATTTTGATCCTCAGTTTGTGTCATTTGCTCACAGGAGGAAAGTGACATCAGAAGCGAACAATTAACTAATCATGTGAAACATGCAATTGGTGACAGTTAACACTGAGAGCTGATGATGAAGAGACCATTGTGAACAATATGAAAGGTTGCACTTTATTTTACAGAATGTGCACTCACAGTATACTAACCGAAGAACCCAAGTGTGTGTGTGTGTCGTGGCGCTCGTGAACTCACTCAGAGGCCAACACGGAAGTAAATCAGTAGTGGGCTCTATGCACGGCGGTATTTCCGGTGAAGTTTTAAGGATGCTCAATAACTTCCGCCGATCGTATAGTCCAATGCAATACCGAGAATATATAGCCTAATGAATTTTATACTCCATGGTTATTCTAAAGAAACGTTAGTCACAAAAACAGATAAAACAGACACCCCTCGTTGTGTTTATGCTTCATTTTAAAATTATATTAAATAAACATAACAATATATAAAATTACATCTAGACGTATGAAAGTTTCGTTTCAAAGACGGGAGGACAGTAAATTTTGAAGACTCTGCCATAATCCCGTTTTCCTCCATTTTCCTCCGCTTTAATCTCCACAACCGGAAATGGATGAGCATCCTTGCGTCAAATGCGGAACTTATGCGTGCATATAGCCCGTTGAATAAAGACATTATTTTTGTTTGTTTTTGTGCACAAAAAGTATTCTCGTCGCTTGATAAACTGAAGGTTGAACCACTTTAGTCACTTGGACTATTTAAACGATGTCTTCACTAACTTTGCTGCGCCGGCAGATGAAATGACATCGGAAATCTTGGAACAACATGAGGCAGAGTAATTACTGACAGAGTTTTCATTTTTGCGTGAACTAATCAAATACATTTACACAGCAAGAGAAAACACTGCTGCTTAAAGCTTTAGAAGACTAGAGAGCAAACTAGAAATCGCTAATACGTCACAGTGTGGATATACTTTTAGACTGTAACATATTTAGATACAAGTATCGCATATGCTGGATGATGATGCATCAGCCAATGTGTTATTATAGAAACATTTACTCCGACGTTTTTGAAGTTAACATTAACATGATAAAAATACATGTTGAAAATAAAGCAGATACAGAATACGTTTTGAATGCACATACACATAGCCTAGAACTAAACAGGAACTCGATTATGGAGGGGTCTAAAAAATGTTGTTGTTTTTTTTAAACTGTGTTTTCTGTAAGAAAGCAAATATTGGAAACAGATTATCGTCATTATTTTTTACCAATCAATTATAATATAGACTAATGGTGAGATTTCATAAGTAATAAATTCATCTGTTATAGAATTTTCTATTGCAGATCACACTGTTTTGCTATTTATTTGATTTAATTTTAAGTTTATAAAAGAACAACTTTAGCCTCCTTAAACCAACACACGACTAATAATATAGTGTTGGTTTTTATTCCAATTAAATTACATTACACTTATTTCAGAAGCAATGAATTCAGCAATAAGTCTGTATAAGCTCCAGAAAACAATCCATTTAGTAAGTATATTTTGTTTAATGAGCTAGAATTACCAAACACAATAGTTTATCTTTATAAATATCAGTAACACGATCCCTGTCAACTAACGGACGTTGAAAATAACACACTAAACGGCATTATACGATCATAATGAGAGAATAGTAATAATAAAACCACAATTTGGAGACATTGTACTGGTTTCCTACCTTTAGAGGTGTTCACATTATATGATTTACAGTGAATTTAATACTTTGAAGTCATCGCGGAGGACCAAGTCAACATGTCTGTTCTGCCTGTCCGGAGTCAGTTATTTCCGGTTTCATGAACAGAGGATTAATTCATCCGGAAAGACCTACAAGCGCGCTCACGTTCATTGAAGACGTTACTGTGTTCTAGAGATCGAAGCATTCTGAGCATGCGCAGAACCAAGACTTCATCGGTACCGAAACTCTTTTCGTGATTGGTCGGCAGAGCGGTCGGTTATTTAAATAAGCCTCGTGATTCATAATCTATTAGATTTCCAGT